GGCATATTATTCGCGAGGAGCGCTTGTTGCCGCCGGTAAGCGCTCGATGCTCGTCTTGTACCGCAGAGGCAGTCTCTATTGTGCTCTCGATATCCGTGTATCGAGCATTTTGTCAAGTCACATTACACGAGTTATATACTGTGCTCAATAAACGTGTTTTCTTTCTTGTTCTTTTTCACTTATTACGCTTTGTCTTATTCACTTTCCCGTCAGAGTTTCCACTCATGTTGTATTAATATTGCCAACATGGTAGCAGAACGTGGTTCTCTGTAAAAGTGAATAATTGCGTGTAACCGTAGTGAAACGAGCAGTGCCATTCACGAGTTTCTTTGCTTTCTCGAGTTTCATTGTCGCGTCGCCATCAGTGAATCGGACAACGGAAACATGGAATCGATGTTCCACGGTATCGAGAAATTGAGCGGGGCCGAGAGAGAATGGTTGTACGTGGAAATTCGCAGTCTCAATTTACTGCGAGGTACGGACAATGCATACGAGGTATGCATCGGTCAAGTGACTAAACCGGAGACATTGAGACAGAATGCTAATACGATAGACCAAGCGACATATAGTGACGCACTCAAGACGTGGGACAAGGCTGACCGCGCGGCAAGCCAAAATCCTCATCAAAACACTCGAGCCGAAGGTCATAGCATTACTGGTGTCATGCGATACTGCGCGAGACATGTGGATGAAGCTCCACGCGACGTTCGAACAGAGACGACGAAACAATCAGCACACACAGTGCAGTCGGAATTCTTCAATTTCCGCATGTGTGCTGGCGACAACATGGTGGAGCACATCACAAAGTTTGAAAATGTCGTTTATCGCATGAGACAATTAGTGTTGCTCCGGATGAGGCATCGCAAGTAGTGAAACTGGTGGATACTCTCCCAGACAGTTTCGATGGTCTTCGCCAAACATGGTGGGCAAGACAGGAAGAACAGCAGACATATTCAAATGGGTTGGGAGCTCTTGACTTCCGATGAGCGCAGTCGTAACGACCGGAAACAACGTAACGACGAGTGGTGGCGCTCGTTGCGGCCACTGACCGCTAAGCTAAAGAGGAAACACTCAACGAAGGGCGCTACTGGGCAGCAACGGAAGTCTGCGAAGAAAAGTGGGCGTGGCCCGCGGTGCTACAAATGTAATGGTTCGGCCACATTAGTAAAAATTGCTCCACACAGGCCAAAGAAGAGCAATACGAGCGAAAAATCGAAAAGTGCTGTCACCGAAGCGTTAAATGCAGAAGTGCTTTGTGCGAGAAGTGAATGTGAGTCGTGGGTGCTCGACTCCGGAGCATCGTATCACATGTTGCGACATCGCGAGTGGTTCACAAACTATAAACTGTTCGATACTCAATCAAAGTGTATCTCGGAGATACTAAGGCTACTATGGACGATGTTGGAGCAGGACGCATCGATTGTGAGGTGTCGATCGACGGGAAGTGGCTGCCGCGTCATCTTGAATACGTGCTACACGTGCCGTCGTCGCGGAGAAATTTATTTTCTCAATCTTGTACTCGACAAAGGAATGCAACTGAAATCTTCCGATCGAGAGTGCGAGTTTACAAAAAGGGCAAGGCCATGGTGCGCGGTGTACGGAGCGGGCGCTTATTTAAAATGTGTGCGCGGCCGTCCCGCAGAGTGAGGTGTGCGAGTCAATGTCGCGGAGCCGCAGTCGCTGCAAATGTGGCATGAACGACTCGGGCACCAAAATAAGCAACACGTAAAACAGTTTTTAAAGGAACGCGGTGTTAGAGTACTTGATGATGACATTTTCTGTGCTGCATGTGTGCAAGGGAAGCAAAAACGAGCAGTTTTAAGTCGCGACAGCAAAGAGCAACAACACGAGGTGACGTTATTCACGCCGATCTGTGTGGTCCCATGGAGGTGGATTCCTTGGGTGGGGCGAGATATTTTCTGTGCTTCACGTGTGACTTTACGAGACATCGCATCGTTGATTTTCTCAAGGAGAAATCAGAGGCAGCTGCGAAAATCGACGAAATGGTAAGATTAGTGTCTAATCTATGTGGTCGATCCGTGAAAGCGCTGCAATGCGACGGCGGACTAGAATTTAATATTCTAAAGTAAAGTCGATTTTGAAGGCGCATGGCGTACAGTTAGTCATTACGAATCCATACACGCCAGAACAGAATGGATGCGCGAGAGGACCAATCGGACTGTGGTGAAGTTGGCACGGACAATGATGTTGGCCCGAAACATGCCAAAGTTCCTGTGGGCAGAAGCAGTGAATACTGCTGTGCATGTTCTAAATCGTACGGGACCCAGTCAAGTCGTCGGCAAATCACCGTACGAGGCATTTACCGGGAAGAATGCTCGGCTCGAAAAACTTCACGCGTTTGGTGCCACGTGCTTGTGCATGTTCCCAAGGAGAGACGAAAGAAGTGGGATTCCAAGGGACAGCGGGGCACGTTTGTCGGGTACAGCGACGACATCGACGGCTATCGCATCTACATACCGGGGGGCAAGAAAATCGTTCGCAGCAAGAGCGTTGTCTTCGAACCGGAGAAAGCAGGCACAGCGTTTGCCCTGTTCCAGTGGAGGAGACAGTGGAGGATGTCGCTACTCAACGTGATCCGGAACGCAACGATGACTGGTTCGATGCCAACGATGCAACTGAGCAAGATGGTGACAAGACACTGAGTGAAGAATCTCTCCTTGAGTCACCAGGCATAAGTCCACCGAATCTGCGCGATAGAGCAACGATCAAAGCGCCTGATCGTTTTGTTCATGCTATGCTGACTGAGATTCAAGAGCCGATTAATTATCAAGGGGCTATCAGGTCAGCAGAGCGCAGACAGAAGTGGAAAGAGGCGATGAAAGAAGAGATGGAATCGTTGGAGGAGAACTCGACGGGTCCTTGGTCAAGCTGCCAAAGGGTCGAGGACAATCTCCAATCGATGGTGGTTCGAGTAAAGCGCGGTCCTGATGGCGAAGTATTGCGTCATAAAGCGCGACTGGTGTGTTGGCTTCAGCCAGAGAGAAAGAGTCGACTTTAACGAGACATTCAGCCCTGTCGCTCGTTTCGACACAATTCGAGCAGTTTGAGCGTCGCGGTGGTGAAGGTCTCAAGTTTGCGCAGTTTGATATAAAAACTGCATTTTTAAATGGACTCCTGGAAGAGGAGATATACATGGATCAGCCAGAGGGATTCCAAGATGGCACAGATCGCGTCTGTAAGCTAGAGAAGAGTCTCTACGGACTCACGCAGTCGCCGCGCTGCTGGAACAAGAAGTTCAAGGAGTGCTACTACGCTTTGGCTCGGAATAGTAAGTAAAAGCCAGGCTGATCCCTGCCTGTATTATCGACGAGAGGAACGTCGAAGCTGCTGGTTGTCTTATATGTTGATGATAGCCTAGTAGCAGCTTCGAACCAAGAAGACATCGACGCACTGCTGAAGTGCCTCAAGGAAAACTTCAAGGTTACCCACGAGCCGCTTGGGTATTTCTTGAGCGTAAACATTACGCGCAGAAGTGATGGCTCCATTTTCATCAATCAAAAGCTGTAGCCGAAGAAGTGCTGCAACGATTCCGCATGGCAGAGGCAAAACCAGTGTCAACGCCAATCGTGCAGTACCTGCAGGCAAATGAGGTTGAGAATCCGACATCAACTTCTGCACCGTATAGAGAGGCAATCGGTTGCCTCATGTATCTGGCTGTCGCACGAGGCCTGACCTCGCATTCAGCGTAAGCTACATGTCGCAGTTTCTCGAGCAACCATCGGAGTTGCAGTGGACACTGGTGTGAAGAGGATCTTCAGGTACCTGAAGGGATCGACGGACAAGGGCATCGTCTACAGGGCAAATGAAGCAGGGTTGCTTCATGTTTACAGTGACGCCGACTACGCCAGCGATCCAGTGACAAGAAGATCTGTGAGCGGAATGGTCAGCCGGTGTACAGTGGTGGTGCCGTATCATGGGCCAGTCAAAGGCAAAAGTGCGTGAGTCTGTCTACAACAGAGGCAGAGTATATCGCGGCGAGTGAGGCAGCAGCTAAGAAAGTAGTCTGGCTGTTTCGCCTGTACGACGAAATTGTCGTCGTACTGCAATCAGTGCCCAAGTTGTTCGTCGATAACCAAGTGCGATAAAGCTGGTTAAAAACCCCGAGTCACAAGCGCACCAAAGCACGTTGACGTGCGATACCACTTTGTGCGTGAAAAAATGAGCGAAAACCAGCTAGCGGTTGAGTTTGTTAGCAGTGAATACCAAGCAGCCGATGTGTTTACAAAGCCAATGTCTCGCATTAAATTCGACAGACTGTGTGCATTGATTGGTATGATAAATGAGTAATTATTCCGAAAATTGGGTGCACGTATGATTGTTGTTAGTATGTACCACAGTTAGGCACCGATCTGAAGGTGAACAAATGTATGGGCTATGCAAGCGGTTCGTATGTACGTGTGAGACGTCTGTCAAGCCTCTTAAATTAAATGTAAAATTTCAGGGGAAGTATTGAGATGAAATATTTTCATTGTGTCTTGTTTACGCCGAA